GGGAGGGAGGGAGGGAGGGAGGGAGGGAGAGAAGGAGGGAGGAAGGAGGGAAGAAAGAAAGAAGGAAGGGAGGGAGGGAGGGAGGAAGACATGCAGGCAATGTTTTCCACCCCATGATCAGTATCCTACCAGATACATCACCAGGCTAGATCTACTTTAGATTTAAGAAAAGATAGAATGAATTGTATTAAGTCTGATTGGAGGAATAAAAAGGCAATATAGTCTTCTTTATCACACATAAACACATACACTAATGTCTATAGAACCCAATATTTTTATGCTATTGACTCCAGCTTACACACATAATGCTGCCTTCTCAGGTAACGATTTCCTAATGGGACAAGTGATGGTTTTTAGAACCAAACTATGTAATGTTTTCATTTAAAAAATCAGTGATATTGGTGGTTCCAAAGCTTTGACCACCAATTCTAACTTATTTTTTTTTAACCTCTGTCCCTACTATTTATTCATTATTTTAAGAAATAGATTTTGAGACTTCATTGAATGCAAGATCCCTGTGCTGTCTGGGAATAATCATGAGCGTGACACTGTCTTGCACTTAAGAGGTACGTTTACCTACTGGAGAGGAGAGACAGGGGACAGGCAATTATAATAAAGTGCAATTAGTACTTCAAATGGAGCAAATGCGGGAGGCCACAGTGACCCTGGACCTTGGAGGTCAGTGGCAACTTCCCAGAGAAAGGGATATTTAAGCTGAGGTTTAAAGGATGAAAGGAACAGGCCAGAGGATTGGGGTGCGGGGAGTAACATTCCCAGCAGATGGAATGACATGTGCAAATGATCAGAAAGGGAAAAGACATGACCTGACATGGAGGGAAGTGGGACAGGTCTAGACCTCCAGGTGGGCGTGGGACAGTCTCTCTTGCTCTTGTGTAGAAGAAAACAGCACAGCAGACCTAATCCTAGACCTAATCCTAGAATTGGGTTCCTCCCACTCCCGACCAACTGGTACTAGGCCTTTCTTACTGGCACCCAAAGGAGACCTTCTGATCAAGGAATCAGAGAGGTAAACCAAAGGCAGGTAGGGCCATGCCCCTGGAACTGCTTTGTGCATGTGACAGTCCTGCCTTACAAGGACTTTTCATGTGAGGGGAGGGCTTATCTTCCGTCCATCTCCTACTTTTATTTTCTTCTATTAAAATTTGCTTATCACCTTTTATTTTCTTTCAGTTGGATGAGGTGAATGGGAGGTACCACTCCCTGTCCTCAGTGTCATGAACTTGTTTGGAGCTGGCCTGCCCTGCATGGAATGCAGGCTGAAGCCTCCTCCCTGCCTCAGAGGCCGAATCTTATCTCTAATGATCTGAGTCCTCTGGGATCTAAACCAAGTGACTCTGGTGCAATTCTATTCATGTAGCCACAGGGGAGATCTACTAAAAATTTTTTTTTTGGAAGGTATACAATACAGAGAGATCCCTATACAATTTTTTCTGAATGTTACCATTTGCAATGGTACCAGTGGCTGTCCTACGGAACCTATGAGGAGAACCTGTTTAGGAGGAAAGCAGAGTACTGACCAGAACAAAACAGAGGAAGGAATCTTAGTCCTTGAATATTAGTCCTAATTCAACCAACCAGCCCTGGGGCCATCTTAACTCTGAACTTCTTCCTATGTATTGAAGCCACTGCTAGTTGGTCTGTCTGGCACTTATACCTTTTAACATCAATGGATATGCTACTCCAGAGATCCTCTGGATAAAATCTTTCATTTTAAAGACAGGGAAACTGAGATCCTAAGGGAAGAAGAGATTCATCCTTTGTTTCCTGGATAGGGAGCCATGAGCAGAGTACTCTTGGACTAATTTTTCAATATACTATGTTGTCTCTCCCTGTAGTGCATGGCTATTAGTTTTCCTGGCTCTCTAAGAAAAAATTCCACAAGTCCTGATGGAAACCCATTAACTTTACTCCATAAAGACAAGCTGGGACAATAGAGATTTTTATATCACTAAGTCATTTAACATCTTTCTAATTGGGTATGAAAACGCTTATTCCTCATTCCTCAGAACTTGTTCTGTCTTCTGATTCCATTTGCTCCGTTCACACCTACTTTGCTAGACACTGAAAATGACATGGTAAGCAAGGCAGACGGTATCCTTGCTTCATGCTCCTAAATTTAAAACATCACTCTTCTCTTTCTGCCTCTGTAAAGTTGAACCTTCATTCTAAAAAAGGAGAAGGATCTCAAGGTCAGCAAGCAGAAATGAAGAAGGAAAGACCTATAGCTAGGAAATAGAGCAAAGTCTATTTGGTCTGAGCCAGACAGCTGAGTGGGGAGACAAGAAGGCCCTTTAGGGCTGGTCCCTCTGATGTGGCTTTGTCCCTGAGGAACCATGGGGAGAAACATTTGAAAGCTGCCTTTCCCTGCCAGGGTTTTGTTTGCTCTTCTGGGACAGGGACAATTTGGCTCCGTTTTGAAGCATTGGGGACATAAAATCGCCTTGAGCATAGCTGGGAAAGGACATACCCCTAACTCTAGAAGATGAGGATAGATTGAATGCCAGTGGCAGAATCCACAGGGAATGACTCCAAGTTCAAGGTAAACAAGTTAAAACTTATATTTGGGAACTAGTTCCCTTGGGACTTCAGACTGACTGTAACTACACTCATGGGTGGAATGTATCCTAAGGCATCCAGGAAGCTCACACTCCCCTCCTCTGCTAGTCCCGCAGGCCTGGATGCTACCAGGACTTTGCTTGAGACCATCTCAGTCTCAAAATTGGCTAAGTAAAAGACTCCCTTTGGAGATTGACAAAGATTTTCCTTTTGGCTGAAAGTGGTCTCTTGATCATTCAGAAACTTAATACAGTCATCTTGGGCCTCTCTACTAAGAAATAAAAGAAGATCTACCCTAGAACAGAACCTTAGCAAAGGTAACATGTTATTCCAGCTCCAGGGTGCAGTAAAACAGTGTATAGGCAGAACCTTCTGATCCCAAGCTCACATTTTAACAGGGATTAAATTAGATAAATGTCAACCCCAAGAGCAGCCTTAAAAAGGAGAAGTCATTGAAGAGAAATTGACCAGGAGCTGGTTTGAGCATAGAGTGGGGAGGATTCAACCCAACTGTCTCTCGATGGTACGAGTGGGTGGGAGTGGATGATGGGGTGGCTGTGTGTTGCCAATGTCAAGAGGGAAGATTCTGGAACTTGACGACTTGGACACGTAACTAGCTTTGGGACTTGGACAAGTGCCTATCCTCACTATCTTTCAATTTTCATCATCTTTAAAATGGAATGAGAATGATCTCTCCCTTCTGGACTTGTTATGAGGGTTAAATGAGTTAATGCATTAAGAAAAAAGAAACTTAAAACAATACTAGGCAAGAACTGAGTATATCATAATTTAACGTTAAGGGAAAAGATTGTTCTTCAAACCAGCTCCTGGCCAATTTCTCTTTCTACTGCTGTCTCTGTAAGGATGGTCCTTCTATGTCACCATGGAAGACTCCCTTCAGAAGCCTGGGACCAGGAGGGTTACCTCAATGTATTGCCCCTTGGTACAGCTTTGGCCTTAACATCTGGAGAAGATAAAGACATGGATCATGTTGGGAGCAGGCACACTTCCTGACCCCCAGGAGGCACTCATTAAATATTTGTTGAATGGACCAGAGCACCACACTGCTAGAACTAGACTGGAAGTCGCTGAAAGAGGAAGGAGAAATGACCTGATGCTCAAGCTTCATAAGACAAGCTAGTAGGGATCCAACCTCTCATAATTAGGTGTGTTATTTAATCTCCGTGGATAAGCTAGGAAGCAGGTGATAGGAAAGAGTATGAGGCCAAAATTATGAATGTCTAGGAAGGATGATAAATGTGAGAGCTAACACAAATTGAGTACCTATCATGTATAATCACCCCAGAGGATGGAAAGTATCCTCAGGCATCCCTCCTCTGCTATTCCTTGAGGACTGGGTACTGCTAGAGAATTGCTTGAGATCAAAATGGCTAAACAAAATATGGTCTTTGGAGAGAGTGTCAGGCCATGAGCCAGGCCTATGGTACACACTACTTTAATTTTGACAGCAATCCTGCCATGTAAGCATTAGCGTCCACACTGCACAGAGATTAAGTGTCTTGTGTAAGTCGTCTCTGTGGCGCTTCACAAGGCCTGAATTCAGTCCCATATGTGTCTCATTTCAAGTCCTTGAACTTTCTGCTCCACCTTGCTAACGCAGTTTTCTCTCATTTCTAGGGCCTAAACTAGGCTCTTAAGCTGAGTGTTCTGGGTGGGCTGCAACTGGACAGGATTCAAGGGTACTGAGTGCTTCCTCCGTTCCTGTTCAAGACTGAGTCATAACTTCTCCAAACTTGGGCCATATTCCTCAACATATGCCCTCGCAGGTCCATATACTTCAATAGGACTGGGTATGCCAGTCATTACTCATGCTCCATCAGACTTCATTTTTGAAAGTTGAGAGAGAAACAGATATCAAGGGCATGCATATTTATCTATTTATTTATTTATTTATTTTATCTTTCAAGCTTTTATTGAAGTGCAACCATCCAGGATGAATTTTAGATCTTGTTAAAAGCAGCCATGTCCGTGGACAGCACGTAGTTCTCAAAAGCAGTGATCTGTTCCTCCAGCATATCTGTTCCAACTTTGTCATCTTTGACAACACACTGTGTTTGAAGGCTCTTAATACCATATCCCCCTGGAACTAGTTTAGAGGAACCCCAGACCGAGCCATCCGCTTGAACGCTCCTGACGCACTCCTTGGATTTTGCCGTATCTGTCTCCTCATCCCACGGTTTCTCATGTAGTAAGACGGGAGACTTGGTGACAAGTGCAGGATTTTGGGGCTTTCTTGGACTCATACTGTGCCAGGTGTTCTTCCCTTAATCTCTTTGCTTCTTCACTTTCCTCCTCCTCATCAGATCCAAAGAGATCAACGTCATCATCATCTTTGCTGTGTCTGGAGCTGTGCTCCTTATGGTGTCTTCCACACTGGCAGGACCATTCTTGTCCAAAGCTTTCTTCACTGCTGGAAGGCTGGCCTTTGCTTCTCATAGGATTTGATGTGATTATACCAACATAAGGGCATGGCACAAGTCGGCAGGCCGTGGGCCGGAGACTGCTTCAAATACTGCCACATCTGCTGGTGATGGCACATACCCTTCCATGTAGTCCTCATCCACCTGGTAATCATTGAGCACCTGGAGGACAGTAGGGGGGTGCTTTTCGGGTCACCGAAACCCATGGCCTCGTCTGTATCTGGGAGCTGGATAGTAGTGGGGGAAAAGAGCTCAAGGACAGTTTTAATGTACAAGATCTCATCAAGTTCCAGAGCATGCCCAGGGTTTACTCTGGATTCTGCTAACCCTGTCATACCTATTAGGACATCACTTTCCTATGTTCATATGCACACACACAACCAGTGTAACCACATCATGTGCAATCACCAGAATGGGAAGTTGTTCTCCATGTATGTATAACATGTCAACATACATTCTATTGTCATGAATATCTTTAAAAAATTAAAATTTAAAAATTAAAAAAAAATTAAAAATAATTAAATAATACCAGACCTGCCTAACCTCCAGTCTCCCTAATGCTATTGACTTGAAAACTGGGCAAGATTAGAACTGAAAGGTCACCCAAAGGTAGTTACCCACTTCAAGGTCTACTCAGGTCTTTATTTGCCAGAAAGTACTATATTCAGTTAGGATAGGCAAAGCTTTGAAAAACAGAAATGATCAGATTTACACCTTCCCTAGACTCTCCTGGCCTTGCCCACACGTGGAGCACAGTCTAGGCTGGTTTCTATGTGGTTCTTTTGCTGAATCCTTTAAATAGGCATGGTTCATGTAGCATTCTACTCTGTGGAATTCCCTAAATGTTATGCACACGCAATGTGGCTCCACCCAAGATGAATCGCAGCTGTCTTCAGGACATATAATCCCCTTGCATAGCATGAACTGGAGCCCAAGCTGGTAGGAACTTGGCCATGGGAGCATCAACCCACATTGAGCAGCAGTAGGACCTTGGAAAGGCCACCAAATGCTCAGCATTCACTGTTTTAGTAGCATTTCTTCTCTTGTCATACAAGTATAATCCATTTATGTTACACAGATGGAGAGAGGAGTAAGGGCATTATCCATCGAAATGCAGTACTTAACATCAAAAAATTGGCAAAGGAGGGCTGGGGCTATAGCTCAGTGGTGGAGCACTTGCCTTGCACATGTGAGGCACCGGGTTCAATCCTCAGCAAGACATAAAAACAAAAAACGAAATAAAGATATTGTGTCCATCTACAACTAAATTTTTTTAAATTGGGTAAGGATAATTTGATAAATCCATCTTTTTTTTTCTTTAATTGCTCTTCCTGTATGATTCCCTTAGGAAAAAAGAAATTGTAAGTAATCACTCCTGGCCTTTATAGGCTTCTCTTATCTCAGAACACAATGTCACACGTGGTGCCCTGCCTCCTGCAGGGGGTCACAGTGAACACCCAGCACTTGGCTTGGCCCCTGGATCTGCATGTAATTATCAGAACTCTGGCCGCCAGATTCCACATGCCGCTCTCACTTCAGTCTTTCCATCCCGTTTCCTCACCTCTTTAAGTTTTGCCAAGCGTATGCTCGTCCTGCCTTCGGGGAAATATTTAAGTGAAACATATAGAAAGTTACAATAACAAGAACTGTGTTGGCAACTCTCTATGTAGTGTTGAGAAAATTTACCCCATTACATCAAAATTGTGGTGATTTTACACACTGTCAACACCAATGCTTGGCTTCTAATGGATGCTTTTCTTCCTTCAAGCTGGGATAAACTCTCCCAGACCCTCGCTGGGGCACGGGTCTTTACTTGTCTTCCTTTCAGCTGTTCTCCTGCTATTGTGACTGGGGAGTTTATTCCAGAGATACAGCTTATCTGCACACTTACCGACACTTCTTTATTCCTTTCACACTGTCTCCCACCCCCAACCCCCACTTCTACCACCTCCACCTATTATTTCCAAAGGGAATCACCCATCACCAAAGCCATGACAGGCTGCCTCTCCACCGCATTCCAAGATAAGACCCTTGAATTCGGCCTCACTCAATACCTCTTAACTTTTGCCCTTGGCATCCAGACAACTCTTCGATTCTCAGGATGCTTGCTGCCGAACTTCCTGTCTATATAAATGCGCTTGGGGAGTCTCTTGCTCCTCAAGCCTCCTTCTTCTCCTCCCAGAGCTTCCCTTTCCCTTTCCATGCCGAGCAATTATTCTTATTAATTATTCCAGCTAGCAGTAATTATCAGCAGTACATGCCCCAAGCCACATTACTAACAGAAATTTCCAGGACACTGAGGAATCAGCTGGGAGGCCCCTCTGCCTTTTGATTTGCCTGGTGCTGCAAGTTATTCTCTCTGCTGCCCCCTCCCACCACGCCTCCACTACGCTCTTACTGGTCCCCAGTTGTTTTATTATCTGGCCTTGGTTGATGGTGTGACAAAATAGGGCAGTGTCATTTATACCTGTGTGGTTATGAGCTCCGGGTAACTCTGGTGGCATGTGAGGCATGTGACCCCTGGTGTAGCTGAAAGCTCTCCTTATTCCCCAAAGGGTTCTCTCCATATTTGAACACAAAATTAACTCCTCAACCCTCATTTGCAAGAATTTGTAATTTGTCTGTTTTCTTATCCATTGTTCATCTGTATAGGTCGTCATTTATAAATACTTTAACATTTCTGTAGCAGGTCATTGGCATATTTAACATAATGTTCTTATTCTATTGGAAATTAAAAAAAAACAATTTGCTTTGTGAAAAATTTCAGGAAAATTGGATGATTCGGGAAGCCTTTTGTCTTGACATGGAAAATTGTATTAGTGACGGTTTCCCGTTAAACTAGGCTGATTCACAAAAAATATTCTGGAAGAAAAAGCAACTGTCTAGAAACACAGAAGAAGAGAACCAGTTAAGTTCATTTTTCTGTCCTGAATAACTTCATGTACTAAAATGAATGTGTGTGCTTGAGAAAGGAGATGCAGATTCAGTCCTTTGCAAATGTATTCAACTTAGCTCATGTAGCCCCTAACAGTGATTTGGAAACCGTGTGCATATTGGAACCTTCTTTTTTTTTTAGTCCAAAACAACAAAGTTTGAAACACTTGGATGTAGTGTCATCTCTGACTTTGTACAATTACAAACCATCAGCAAGTTTCCAAAAAAGGCTGCAATGTAAGGTGCTAATTTGCAGATGTTATAATAAAGATCCTATTACTCAACAACTACAGACCACATGTGGCAATGGTAAGAATCAGGTGGAAAAGAAAAAAAGAGAAGAAAAAAAAAACTATCAGCATTATCAAAACAGGGCTTCTACCAGTTGTTGCCAAGTGAAAAACAAAAGAGAGAAGTAAAATGTTTTGTTTTTAAGACAGGGTGGGACAAGTCGGGGTGTGTGAAGCAATCTGGAAAAGATAAAATTTTAAAAGTGACACTATCTCACTTAAGATACTTCCAAGAGCCAAAGGAAGTGTGCCTCATTCTGACACATGCACACTGGCATCCAGCTTGAAATACCCATACATAATTGTTGAGGCCAGTGGTAAAAATTCAGTCCTTTGCAAATTTATTTAATTTAAATAAGCTTCCCCAACATTGGGGGAATGTGTTCTCTCAGTGTGCTTCATTAGTGTAGCTTACACCACAAAACTGGCTGTATTGAGAAAGATTGCACCATTATCAAATAATTAGGAATGCCTTAGCAGGTGCATACACTTACCTTAGTAATTAAACCCTTGTTAAAACACCAAAATCCAGAGACTTTAAATGGTTACAGCCTCCCAAAGGAGGTAGCCCAGAAAGTGATTCTATAAGGTAGTGTCATTTGGGAACAAGGATATTGAGCAGAGTCTCTTTACCTCTTGGGATGCTTACCAAGCACATCTGTGCACATCATGAGATGCAATAAAAATTGCAATGACAATTGTAGACACACACCCACCGCACTACATGCTGGGCAGCCCCAGTGCTGGCCTGTTTGGAAGCGAATCCTGTGTAACTGGGCTTTGTGATGCCATTGTTTCAAGCATGGTTCGTGAGACAAAGAGAAATAGAAATGAGAATGGGAAATAAGGGTTCAGCTTACCCTCTTTACTTGAGGGACAAAAAGGGAGCTGATCCCAATTTCTCATCACATGCCTTCCTTCATAAAATTGGACTCTTTAAGTTTTTCTTCGATGAATGAAGGACTGGATCCACTCTTCCACAATGGCATTTGAGATGTCATATGACAAGCAGTCACCAATAAACCAACATTCAAGAGCAGATCCTTAAAATCTTGCTGTGGGGAGTGTAAGAGTGGTCCATATCATTTTGATCCGTTTTCTGGGGTCTGGTTGTCTAGGCAAGAGCTCGCCTTCCCTATAGAAGTACAACTGTGATAAATCTGAACTCGACAGCCATGGGGCATTCCGGAGATGATATCTAGGGGTTGCCATGACAACTCCCTAGAATGCCTGCTGCCTTTTCATGGTGGAGTTCCTAGGTAAAGCCTGGAAGGTATCTGAAATAAATCATCAAAAGGTAGGACAGCTGGAATTGGTCCATGGAAGAAATCCAAGTATCTGAGTCCATAAGTTCTGTGGTAAGGAGGTTGTCACTTTAGGACAAATTTCCATCATTCTGTGGAATTTAGGCTGAGCGTTTGAATCAATCGGGTTTTTATGGAGCTGATGTCCCTGAGGGTGAGGTACGATGATGCCGATACCAATAACTTTAGCCAACCACCAATGTAATCCATTGCTTACTGGAAAAAAAAAAAAAAACATTCCCACATTCCTGGAACATGAAGCTCTGTGGATCCAACCATGTGACAAAAGGTATTGTCAGCCCCACTGGGGCACCGAACTGTCTGAACTGCAGAGAAACCACCCTTTGTTCTAGAAGGACTCAGGACACCAGCAGTGGCGTAGGATAGTAATATTTTGCTTTCTGGCTCTGGGGTTCATAGAGCTGGGGCTGATTCCTAGTTCAACCATGAGTTTGTTCAGAAACCTTGAAAAGTCATGATAACCATCTTTTACATTTGTAAAAAAAAAAAAAAAGAATCATAACTTGAGCCAAATTGGTCATGCTGAGAATGAAATAAAATGTCAGATCGAAAACACCTAACATTTAATTAACACTCAATAAACTTCCTTTGCTTCCTTCCTCCCCATAAAAAATATAAAACATGATACAAGTGCAAGACACACTGTACCATTTTTCAACTCTAGCATCTGCAGATCGCCTGGCATGGTACCATTACTTGGGCAGACGAATACTTCCAGTCCAATTTGTTCTGTGCATAATAATGTCGCTTTTCAAAGGGAGAGAGGAAGTGACAGTGGCTATATCAGCTAACACAGAGATGTCAGGTGATATTTTAAACGATAAGCAGTTGTGAAGACCAGAGTATTATAATGTCTGTATCTTCATGCCATAAACATGGAAGGCGTTGGTATGCCCCTTTCTCTTTCCTACAGGGAGGGAAGGTTAAAGTAACAAAAGGGTATTACAGTTGTTTGAAATCAGACCCTAATTCCAGACCTCCAGGGGCTATTTCTAACATGTTTATTCAATCAACCAGAGCATTTTTTTTTGCACCTGTAAAATGGCACATTCATCAGAGCAAATAAACAATTTATTTCCATTTTTAAAACATTTTATTGAATTATAGCCCACATTCAGAAAAGTACATGAATCAAGGTGTATAGCTTGATGAATTTTTGCAGATAATAATGGTATTACATTTTAATGGCACTTAAATATACCCTATTTATTATAATGGGCTCCTATTTTTGTCTTGGAATGTTATTAAAAATTTTAGAAATCAAGGGTTACAGCTTTTGTTCTCTTTCTCTTTTTTATGATTCTAATTAAAATAGAGTATTTTGAACTTTATTGTAGCATTCTAAGAATTTTAATGCATATAGATTGAGGCAGCCATCACCACAATCAGGATACAGAAGAGTTGCTGTAGTTGACTGTGGAGGACTGTTAATCCGTTCACTGTCATGTAGTCTCATCTTTTCTAGATTGTCATACTATAAATGGAATCATGTAGTGTGTAATCATGTGAATCTTCCTTCTTGAACTTTGCTTTTGGCAAATTATCCACCCTGTTGTTTGCATCAAATCTGTTCCTTTTTTATTGCTAAGTAATATTCTGTTGTATGTGCTCATCCATTCACCTCTAGAAGACTTTTGGAATTCATTCCATTTCCAGTGACTAGAAATAGAATAATAGACATTATTATGCAAGTTTTTGTGTGAATATAAGTTTTCCTGTCATTAGGGTAAATACAAGAAGTGAGATTAGTGTGTCTACACCATTTCTGAGATTTCTAGTAAATCAACCTAGCATTATAGTAGACGTCATCTTGAAAGATAAAATATTTCCTTCTTGCTATAGGCAAAATCTTTGATTTTTGAGAGGTAGAAATTGTCTCTTAGGATCCAGATACCCAAAAAATGTCATTTTTATCATTTAATATTCCCTTTTGTTTTTGTAATTTCTGAAATTTTTCTATGTGTCCTTTTAACCATAACAGACATATTTTTAAAATTAATTATTAATTGAAAACATTTCTCCATGTATTTGAAAGCAGAGTTGCAGATATTTATGATATTGCAGCCCTATTTCTAGCTCCTAAGAACTAGACATTTTCCTGTTTAACTAAAATATCATTATCACATCAAAAAAAAGTGTAAGGTTGATTTTAGAGTAGTAAGGGCTTTCATTTATTTATTTATTATTTATTTATTTATGTCTCCGTGCTTTAAACGTTTCGCTTCTCTGATGGCTCTAAAAAGAAGCCATCTTTTGATTTTTCAGTTTGTTTAGCTTTTTGCTTGTTGTTAGAAAGTGATGGAGTGACTACTTCTAAGCTGCTTACATCAAGTACAAAATCAGTAAGTCCCTGGGATTGATTTTTAATATCATCTATAAACAGTGCATGTATAAATTTCTCCAGTGACCCCAAAGTGGTCTTATATTGTCTTCAAAAAATCTGGGATCCAATGAATTCACACTTTGCATTTGATTGTAATGTCCCTTTAATTTCCTTTAAGTTAAAATAATTATACCCCCTCTCTCCACTTTTTCTGTCTTGTAAGACATTGGGACATGTAAAGAATTCAGGACTGTTGTGTTCCCTTGACCTAGGTTAGGCAGATGACAAGACTGTGACACCAGTGAGAGCGTCCGCTTCCCATTCCATCACATATTAACCCTGTTGCCTTTCTTGGCAAGGCTGAAGTTGATACCTCCTATTCACACTATCTTTCCATTATAAAAAGCCATTTTAACTTTTGTAATTAATAGATAATCTGTGATGGTTCAAATCTGTGTGTGAACATCCTGCTTCCCAACAACACAAAAGTTTTAGCACTTCTTGGCACCGCTTGCCTAAAATCAGGTATCACATTACAAAATGCTGATTTTCTAATTCTACCATTACCTTAGATACATGTAATGAAGAGTTGCTGCTCCCTTGTTTGCACTTGGGTTCTATCATCATCATCATCATCGTCATCAACTCTTTTTGTTTTATGTACCCATTATTATTTTTGCTGCTCAATGGTCTCCAATTCAGCCAGCTAAAGATCCCTTCAAGCCAGTTCTTGTGGCTTCCCGTTGTCTTTCGGACAGGATCCCATTAATCTTTGAGCACTTTGTTGTTTTCTGGCACAATAAGACACACGGGTTCACCTTGTACTTTCTCTGCCCCAGCTTCGGAATCAGCCAAGACCAAAGTGTTATTTAGAAACCAAGATCTGGGACACCAATAATGCCATTTGGGGACACAGTGATCAGACAGTTTTGCCCTTACAACTCTCCAGGACTCAGTCTGTGCCTTCTACCTGAAGCGAGCTTCCCAGTGCAGCCTCAGCCGTGTCTCTCCATTCCCCACTGTCAACATCCCTTTTGCCCCGTTAGGAAGAGTTTCTGCAGATTCCCGGCTCTTCTTGCTTCCAGTCTCTGAAGTGCAAATCCAGTGGAACATGACTCCCACAATATGGTTCAGAAAAGGGGGCTCTGAGTCATATGGGCCAAAACTTGGATCCCAACTCTACTCCCCTACCGACTACACAATCTTGGGTGACTTAGCAAGCCTTTCTGGGTCGACTCCTCATCTGAAAAGTAAAGATAAGAGTACCAGGAAGTGAGAGTTAGAGATAAGAAGGACATGCCCGCCACCTCCATGACAGGCTGTCCACCAACATTCAGCTGCTTCTAGAGGCTCCGCCCCACCTGCAGGCACTGGAAAGAAAAACACTATGTCTGAGATGACTCCAGTCGGTTAGAGCTGACTGGGCCAGTGTTGGATCATGAGAAGTTTAAAAGAAGGACAGAGAACAGGTTATAGTCAGTATCAGTCAAAAAATGTCAAATGCATAACTGGTACCAGCTGATGAACTTTAGTGACTAGAAGAGGCTGCTTAAGGGAAGGAGACGACTAGAGAAGGCACTGTGCCCTGTCCCCTGCGTGTGCCTAGGGACTATCCTCACCTGCCTTCGGGAGGACTTGCATCCTTCAATCACCTCCCTTGGTCTAGACAGCCCCTTCCCGTCTGCTGCCTCTAACCTAAAAACACAAAATCATGCTCAGCATTTTGACTTTTACTGAAAACATCTTTCCTGGATTCTGCAGTCCGTACTGTCACTTTCCTTTCCCGGTAAAGCACTTAGAGAGTGGACTCCACAGCTCCTGTCCACACTTCCTACACCCCAGCCAAATGTCTTCTGCAGAGATGACCACTGACTTCTCCATTGCTCCAGCTAATTCATTTTTAAAATTTTTCTTTTACTTCACCGCTCTCTCTTCGTTTTCTCCTACCTTCTCAGTCAACTTCATAGTTTTATTTTTCCTTTGTTCAGTCCCAATATGTCCACATGTCCCCAAGGGTGTGTCCTTCAGCACTCTGGGTCTATTCTTTGCACATGGTGCTGGCGACTGCCCTCATCCAAAGGTGACCATTCTGGTGACCACCTTTAGGTTAATAACTCCCACGTCTTCCCCTCTGATCCACAGCTCTGCTGAACTCCCAATCCTTATTCATCCTCTATCCCTATCCCATCTCCACTTGGATGAGTTCTAAATAAACCAGTCACTATGTCTCAATGGAACTCACGATCTTTTCTTAAAAAAACTGTTTCCTGTGTTCTCAACCACCATCATCCACTCAGTGAGTCACACCAGGAACCCAAGAATTGTTCTAAGGACTTCTTCGTGTGCACAGCGAACATCTTGAAGATTCTCCCATCTTGCTTCTCTCATATATACTCCCTCCCAACCTCCACTTGCATCTGCCTTCTCAAACGCCTTCTCTTCCTGCCTGGCTCTCTGGTCTCCCAGCATCCCTCTCCTACCAGCCAGGCCTTCTTTCCTCCATATGGCTCCTGAGAAGAGGTCTCTAAAATGCAAATCTGATCATGTCACCATTCTGCTGAAAATTCCTCTGTTCCCCCCATGGAAGAAAGCTCAGGATTCTCAGCCAGGACCTTGCAAAGCTCTGACCCCTGGGCTCATCGCTTTCTC